CTCCTGGAATTTTTTTGGACTTTTTTGTTGTTGCTGTCATTGTTTTTCCAGTTTCCTAAGGCATGATGTTAGGTTGTCTATTTGCCACCTTTCCAACTTTTTCTTATGCACACTAATTGTTATGAACTTTCCTTTTATGACTGCTTTTGTGGTGTCCCAAAGATTATGGAGACTCATACACTCATTATCATTTGTTTCCATGAATCTTTTGATTTCAATCTTAATCTCTTCAGTAGTTGTGATGTCATTCAGGAGGTTATTTAGTTTCCATATATTTGTGTATTTTTGAGGGCTTTTCCTGAAATTGATATCAAGTTTAATTCCAGCATGCTCGGAGAAGCTGCTGGATATAGTTTCTATGCCTTTGAATCTGTAAAGGCTTGTTTTGTGCAAAGAGATTCAGGACCTAAATAATACCATAAATCAGATGGATTTGACAGACATCTTAGAACTTTCTACCCCAAAACCACCAAATAAACATTTTTCTCACCCCTACATGGTACCTTTTCAAAGATTGACCACAAAACAGAAACATATACCATTGTTAGGAGCTGGTTTTGTCTTATTAAGTATTAAGAAGTCACAGAGGAGAGCCAGGTGGTGGTGCAGCAAAGCATAACTGGATCAACATAAGAAATCCTGAGTGTATGTCCCAGGACTTTCCTGTTTGCCTGGGTACGTGCATCCCTGTGATCCAGGTTAGCTGAGACTGGGGTAGAGCATAACGTAAAGACCGTTGGGGGTGTCCTGCCTCCCTTTCTTTCTCTTTCTGAAGAAATAAATAAACGTTTTTAAAAATCATGTATAACAATCAGGATAATTAGGATGATAACGACGAACAAAATTCCACCTCTTAAGACTACTGACCACTTTAAATAATGACCTCTTATGATAAACATCCACATTTTTTTCCATATAATAACATGTATAGTATGGACATGCTAAGACTCTTCTGAGCACTTTACAGATTTTAACTTAATAAACTCCATCAACTCTTTATAATAGTTACTATTATTAATCTCACTTTACAAGTAAGGAAACTAAAACCTAGAGAGATTAAGAAAGCTGACCATGATTCCTCAACTATGTCCAGTATTCAAATTCTTTCTTCTTTTTTTCTGGGACTCTAATGAATAACTATTACTTAAACACATTCTGAATCTTGGGTTTTCAGGCCTCCTGATAGTCTTTTGTGTCACTGTATATTATTTTTCTGGATCAGTGCTACCTTACAGTAGCAGTGCCGGAAATGTAGGCCCCTGGCAAGACCAGATCTGTGGAGGTCTGGCCTTGGTTCCTTGTCAAGCCTGAAGCTACACCAGGTGGTGCTCAGACTTGTCACGTGACCTTACATCTAACAGTGACTTCTGATCTGTCGCTGACTCGAGTGTTTCCCCTTGTGCTAATTTTGGATTGTGAGCTCACCTTTATCAGAGATTACCTGTGGACATCATGAATTATTGGATTGTTGGAAAAGTCATGACACATTTTTGCATAGAAAAGTACATCATGACTTTTCTGACCACCCAATAGCTACTCCTAAAAAGCTTTCTATTGGCTCCCCCAGTACAAAAGTAAACTAGCCTGAGACTACTTGTTCAAATTTCTCACATACACGGTTCCTGAAAGTAGCATAAATAACCTAGAAATAAGATAGTTAAATTTCATGGTACAAGCCTGTAGTTGTGATTGTTTTTTCTTTTTTCTTTTATTTTTCCCCCAGAGAGCACATGCACTTGCCAGAGAGACAGAAAAAAAGTGAGAGTGACAAAGCACACTCCGAGCCAGCTCCGATTGTCACACCACAATCCCTTCTCCTTCATTTATCCCTCCTTTTAAAATTCCAGGCACACAATGCACATGTGTCTGGCATGATTTTCAAGCCCCTAGGTCCAGGACTTGAACCGTGCCATCAGTCATACGAGATCCAGTTCCCTTAACCAGCAGGCCAAGGGCTAGCCCATGGATTCTTAATAATTCTTTTACAACATGCGGAACTTCTTGTTGCTCTTTGTGCCAGCTCTAGATAACAGGTATTTCACTTCAATTTGAAGACAATATTCTTTTGCTTCTGACACTTTTTCTTATATTACTCCTTTGATAAATTCTAACTTTATGATTTTTTTCATTTTTTAAAATAACTACAAGTATTGAAATTCTTAGCCTGAGAGTTTTTCTTTTTGCCATAGGGCAGTATGTTAGATTTTTTCATTAGAGAGTCTAAAAATGTCAGTACTTGGGGTTTGTTCTTCATGAGTGTTCAACTTCTCCAGAAATTTTTTTATTATTATTTTGAAATTTTGTGCTGGTAGAGGTCAGTTATGGAAATCAAAATTTTTAAATGATATAGTTTTCAGCTCTGAGACGTAGACCTACCTCCCCCATACCTGGGAATTTGATATCAGAAAGTCTCTGTTTAATCTTCCTAGAGAAGAAACTCCAATCTCTCCTCTGGGCAGCGAAAGATGAGGCAGGAAAGGAGGCATTATTTATCAGGCATCCAGGAGCAAAGCGAGCAGGAGGGGGGCTGTCCTGAGGTTCTACCCCCTCCATATGTAGACTTACAAATATTCCTGTATTGTCACCCCCATCTCTCTCCTTACCTTGCTTTGTATCTAGCTGTATTTCTTTCTGGGGGTGTTGTAACAACATACCATACAATGAGTGATTTAAAGCAATAGACACCCATTGTCTCATAATTCTGGAGACTAGAAGTCTGAAATCAAGGTGTTTTCAGGGTTGGTGCCTTCTGAGGGCTTCATGGGCAAATCTACTCCAGGTCTCTTTCTTAGTTTCTGGTAACCTCAGGTATTCTTTGCCTAGAGAGGGTGTTTTTCTTGTGTATGTGAACTATCTTCTGTACATGTCCCTCTGTCTCTAAACATATTCTTTTTATGAGAAAACAGTCATCTTGAATTAGGGCCCACCCTAATGACCTCATTCTAATTTTATTGCTTTTACAAAGTCCTTATGTCCAAATAAGGTAACCACCGATTAGGATATCTATGTATCTTTGAGCGAGGGTAGGGGAGACAATTCAGTCCATAATACCACTGCTCTAAATCCTGAGTTCTGAAGTTCTGCAGAGTGGACCAGCTCATTTCTTCATGCTCATGCTTATATGTTCCTCCATTATATACACACACACACGTAAAGTCACCTACAGAGGTACACATAGGCACACTACACACACAGACACACCGATCTCACACACCACACAAATACAAACACATGGCATACACTCATGCACACTTGCTGTGTTGAAAATGTGCGGGATGTTCTTTAATCGGGTATGGTAAGACATGCAGCCACAGGAGTGGCTTTTTGAAGGAAAAGGTTTCTATCACAGATCTGTAGAAACACAAGGCATGGTATCTTAGACAATTTTGTGCTACTATGACAGAATACCACAGCCTGGATAATTAAAACTAACAGAAATATACTGTTTCTCACACTTCTTGAGGCTAGGAAGTCTAAAATTGAGGGGCTGGCATCTGGGGAGGCCCTCTTTCTGTATCATCCCACGGAGGAAGGTCAGATGATGGCAAAGAGCGAGGGTCAAAGAAAAGGGAGCCAAGCTCCTCTTTCCATAAGAAATCCATCTGCTGAAACAAGCCAGCTCCCATGACGATGGGGCTAATCCATTCATGAGGGCAGAGCTTTATGTTTCCACGCACATTGAGGGGGGCACATTCAACCGTAGCACACGGCATTCCACTCAGGGCATGTAAGGAAGACCCAGTGTTGATCTAAAGACAGAAGAGAAGAGAGGGCAAATCATGGCCCAGAGCAGAAAGAAATGAGCAGAGCAGGATAACTACGTCAAGTAAGTCTAAGATATGGTTTGAGTAATTTTGGTAGGCTCCAACCTATCGGGGTTTCCCTAGGGACTACTAGCATACCTAGCCATCTGACACCCAGTCCTGCAGTGATTTAGGGCAGAGGAAATATTGACGTGGTGTTTGAAAATTTGATAAAGAAGATGGCTGGGGGGACCAGCAGTTAGAGTAATGGCTATGAGGCTAAACTCCCATGTAGCCTACCGTGGTTCAAGTCCCAGACCCTGTGGCTTAAACTCACGCCGGGTGCATGTGTGTGCATGCCCAAGATCCTGAGAGGAGAATGGAGGAGAAGGGATTGTGACATGGCCATGCCCCCTGGGGGGGGGGGTGATTTCTCACTTTCTATTTCTCTCTGCCTGTCTGGCGAGTGCACGCACCCTATAGCAAAAACCTCTCAACAAAAAAAGAAGATGGCTGGAGATCTGGACTCTGGATTGATTGGTTTGTATATCCATGGAGAGTTTGTATATTTCAGGAGAGTTATTTGCTATCTCTAGGAATTAGCTAGGTTGAGAGAGTCAACCTCTTCAGGATCAAGGTCCCACATGCCAGGGCTTCAAGAACACAGAAAATAAGAAAATACAATCAATGCACACATGCACATGCACATGCACACGCATGCATATTTGGAGCATGGCTTCCCTGTTCTCATTATTTTTCCAGCTGCTTTGCCTGTCCTCCCATTCCCTTTGCTTTGTGGAGCTTTTACACCCCCTTTCGATACTTGTAGTGGGACTCAGAGAAGAAGCAGAGATTAGTCTTATGCATTCAGTCTTCCATATTTTACCAGAAAACATTTTAGTACAACAGATCCTTCTGCCCTGGACCTCCACAGAACTTTTACTGCTGCTAAATTAGACACGTTCTCCCCTTAATGAGGACCTTTTGTGACTATACTGCCGCACCTCTGAGACTTTGTCCTTTACTGGGAGAGTGTAAGGACTTTGACGACTTGAGGAGGGGTATGGCTCTTAAAGCTTGACCTAATCTCTGCCCAGGCTTCCTACGTCGATTGTCCTCTGTTCTGAAGGCTGTGCTCCTGTGCCTTTCCAGCGTGCTTGTACTCCACGGCAAGAAGGAGCCTGTCGCTTTAAAAGGAAAAAAAAAAGTCTCTGAGAGACCTTCCTTAGGAACGGGTTGCTAAGCTGGTGGTTTTGCTCTGGGATGTGGCTGCAGCTCCTGGGGAAGCAGTCCGGCGGCTGCCCCGACCCTTTTCCTTCAGAGCCTTCTGGAAGATTCAGCAGCAGTATCTACTGTCTCTCTCCACTGCCTGTCCACCCCAGAAAGCAGAATCTGCAAAGTGCCTTTCGTAAACTTCCTTAAGGTAAACCGGTTCCTAAGGAGACCAGAGCTCAGCGACGGTTTCCTGTTTCCCCAGCTTAGAGTTCAGCCTTTCCCTGGGTACTCTGAGAGCGGATTTAATTCATTGCAAATGCAAGGACGCTCATCTCAGTTATGCTTCCACTTCCTGGAATGAGAACACTTCGGCCGCTTTGATTTGAGCTGCTCTCTGGTATCTGGTTTGCAGGAAATACAAGTTCAGTTAATCACAATCCCTAAATGGAAATCGTCTCTGACCAAAACTGCAAAACATTTGCTGCATGTTGAATTTCTGGGCCTTTTAGTTCAAAGGGGTTCCAGGGGGAAGCACCAGTTACTACAAACTTCACTTTTTTTGCCATTAAAGAAAGTGCAGGTCTGATGATTGCTGTGCTTTCTACCTGACCTCGGGAAAATGTATTGGCTGCAATGTAAGCTGATTGTTTTCCTTCATTGCAAAGAGGTGCTATGAAAAGCTAATAAACACTAATAGGAAATATATGTCTGCTATTGTAATTTCATATAAACTTTTCTGCAAATAAATTTTAGTGCCTGCATGTAACCTCTTTCTCCTCTCTCTTGCTTTCCTATCTCATCTCCTAGAGCTCATCTATAGTCATTCATTCAAAAATTTATTGAGCATCCACAATATACCAGGCAATGTGCTTAAGTTTAGAGTGTGCAAAAAAAAAAAAAAAAGAATCCAACCAGGTCAGAAGCCAGAGTTGCTGAAAAGACAGACCTATAAACAGGTTCTAACAGTCCAGTGAGCTAAGTGCTGTAGAAGATTTATAAAAAGGTCTAAAGTGCTTAGGGCACAGCAGGACCACCTCCAGGGAGGGGCTTCTAGCATTTTCTACATCATGTCAATACATTGGCCATTTATCACATGGCACAGCTCAAGTATAGAATTTATATGTGCTCTTCTAGGACAATGTATATTATGTGAGGTAGATTAAATGATTTACTAAATGTATTTGTTTCTTTTGTACAAGGATACTAAAGAACGCTGCTGCTGGAATCACTTGTAGAATTAGAGAAAACATTCAAAAAGAATATGTGTGGCACCTCTCCAAATTTCCAAGCTCTTGATCAAATGGGACGGGACAGAAAAATGTGCTCAGGGAGCAAGGGACAAAATGCTCCTGGATAGGAGAGAGGTTTCTGAAGCACCGTAAATACAAAGACAGGGCCCCAGGCCTGGCTTGGAGAGAGAGGGAGAGTGGGTATGGGTTGAGGTAAAGGAAGTGTGGAAAGGAGTTGAAGGTGGGAGCTGTGGAGGAAGTGCGGGGTGAACATCCGCTAAGGTCTTTCCTATGAGTTCCCTTCTGTCTCTCAAGCCCTTTTTCCTTCCTATTCCTCTCCTTCACGTTCCTCTGCCCTCACCCTTTCTCGGTGATAAAGCCTAGCGACACTCAGAGCCTGATCCCTGCTAGGCATGGATGTAACTACATATATCCTGTCATTCCTCCCTTAGAAGCCAATCATTCTTTAAATTAGAGATAGGATCACAATTTTACAGATAAATGTGTCTCAGAAATGTGGAGGCATTACTCCTAGATTCCACAGTCGCTAAACAGAACTAGAATTTGAACCCAGGTCCATATAATTTGTTACAAAAACCTCACTCTTCCTTCACACTCATGTTTTTGCTGTTCTGAAATAGGCTGCCTGCGTCGTACTATTTTTTAAGCAGCTGAGGTTAAGGTGCATTGTATACAGGTTGCCTCTTCTATGCATATCCATTCCTTTTGCCTAGCAGCCTGTAGGACTTGTCACAGAGTCCTTTAGAAATGACTCTAAGCTGCTGGTGACTCCTAGAGATAGTCTAGCTGTCCAAGTGGCAGTGGCAGTACTTCCCTTGAAAACCGCCTTGGGTTTTCTGACTGAGTGGAATAGGTCATTGACCTAGTGTGACCTCAGCCTTTTCTCACTGCCGCAGTGCTTCCCAGCTTTCAGCCAGAAGCATTTCCAGAATAGTGGGCCAATGGAGGAAAGTTACTGATTTTATTGCAAAAGCATGATTGAATGATGACTGGGAGGTAGAACTGAGTGGAGGAGAATTGTGGAGCAAGAATCTCAGGATCGAATAACCCTGGTAAACCATGTAACCTGTCATAGCCTCGGTTCTTCGTATGCAATGCTGGAATGTCACTGTGAGGACTAAAGATAGCATTTATAGGTGACAGCACAGAGCGTACAGAAAAGCATAGCTATTTTGATGTTGCCAGCATGACTAGATGAAGAAATACCCAACGCATGTACTGATAACAAGCTACATTTTCAATTGTGTAATCTCGATTTATCTTTTCTTAGCAACGGTATTCACAAAAATAATAAATTTGGGGGTGGAGTCTTATTTCAGAAGACTTGGCCTACTCCAATGTCTTCAGTTTTTCTTGTTTTTCTACCAGTAGTTTTGTAGTCTGAAGTCTTAGGTTTAGATTTTTGATCGATTTTGAGTTGATTTTTGTTAATGGTGAAAGATAGAGGTCCAGTTTCATCTTTCTGCAGGTGGATACCCAGTTTTTCCAGCACCATTTGCTGAAGAGGTTTTCTTTTTCCCACCAATATACAGTGTATTCATGAAGGGAAAATTCATTTGATGCTATAGTTACATACAGTGATTGAAGGTAGAAATTAATTAAATTTTGGGGGAGAGGGAGGTTTTTTGCTATAGGATATGTGCGCTTGCCAGAAAGACAGAGAGAGACAAAGAGACAGAAAACGAGAAATCACCCCCCAGGGGGGATGGCCATGCCGCAATCCCTTCTCCTCCATTCTCCTCTCAGGATCTTGGGCACACACGCACACACATCCGGCGTGAGTTTAAGCCACCATGTCCAGGACTCCAACCGCATTTGACTACATGAGAGTCCAGCGACATAGCCATTACGCTAACTGCTGGTCCCGAAATTAATTAATTTTTAAAAAGAAAAATTTTGGTGTTATTTGATTTTCTTATAAACTCATTCAAAGATAATGATTAAGAAAGAATGAAGAGGAAAAACACAATCCTTTATATTTTTCATTTTTTCTTTCATATGTGATTTTTTAAAATGTATATGTAACCTTTTTTGGTAGCTGTAAAAAGATGTCACCGTTCCTGTTCTCAGGTTCTCGATGCCCGGAGCTGCTGATTTGGGAAGCTTTATTCCTTTAGCATTTCGGTCTTACAGTCTGCCCTCCCACCTCTTCATTTTCTTAGCTGCTCTCACCATTCCCCTTTCCTATTTTTGAACCTGTGAAGAGGCCTATATGGAAACAGTAGAAATTCTAATGCTTTATTTCCCTTTTACATGCTAACTCCCAGGTAGGTCAGCAAAACCTTGAACACCTCTTCTAAGCTGCTTACCTGACCCACTTTCAGTTAGGATTGGATTCCATGGACATGAGGAAAGGCTGATAATTTGTCAGCTCTGTGCCTGGTATCCCTTCACACGTTTTCTCACCTCATCTTCACAGCAACCGAGTGAAGACGATAAAACTTTAAAGGGCCCTAATATGTGGCCAGGAAGACAGTCAATAAGAGATGATGTCATCATTCACTGGACAAAGTGTCTTCAGAAAGTTCATGGAAAATGCATATTATGAAAAACTATGAGGCCAGCCACGTGGTGGTTAAGGGAACTTGCTCCACATGGGTGCCTTCACAGTCTGAGTTTCAGTGGTCTGAAAAGCACTCTGGGTGCTTGTGTTTGCTTAGCCAAAACCCTCAGAAGAGACTGTGGTGTGGCCATCCCCCCCAGGGAGTGTTTCTCACTTTCTCTCTCTCACGAGCACATGTACCCTATAGCCAAAACTACCTAAGTAAATAAATAAATAAAAATAAATAAAAGAATAAAAAAGAAACCATGCTCAGATTTCAAAAAAATTTTGCACCAAGGCAAACTTGTTAATAAATTCCATTTGACTACAGACATTTTGAAATATCTCCACATAGGTTAAGCGTCCATCAGGTGCCATAGTCCTAGACTCTGCTGTTCCTAACCTCTTGTCCCCTCTCATATTCTAGTGGGGATGACCAAGCACTAACAAATAAGAAATGTGAGTTGTGATAAGTATTGTGAGAAATGAATTATTATAAGGTGGTTCAGGAGTCCCAGGAGAATCCTGGGGGAGGGGATACCATTGATTGTGAAAGATCAGAGAAGTCTTTTCTCATAGAAGTTTCAGCACAGTCCTGAAGGAAGTGAAGAGAGAGCCAGGGTTGTGCAGATACCAGAAAAAAAAGTTCTGGGCAGGGAAAACAGCAAGCGAAAGGTCCTGAGGCAAGGGGTTTCAAGTGCAAGTCATGTAGGGCCTTCTGGCTTCTGGAAAGATTTTGGGATTGTGCTCAGTTGAGAAAGGAAAGTCATTGGACGATTCTGAGCAAAGCAATGACGTGCTCTCTCTTAGCTTATCAACCACTCACGCTGGCTTCAGAGCAGAGAACACTAGAGGTAAGCGATGTGGGGAGCACATAAATTAGGAGGTTTTTGCAGTAGTCTGTGCAAGAGAAGGTACTTAACCAGGGCGGTCACAGTGGACAGACTTAGAGTGATTGGATTACAGATATAATTAGAAGGCATAGGTGGGATTTCAACAGATTGGATATCATCAGTGGGGAGTTGCATGAGAGGAAGAAAGGCACACAGAGGGATTGCAAGGTTTCTGGCCTCAGAAAAATGGATTTCTGTGTACTGCACAAGGAAGCTGACAGCACACACAGAGCCGGGGTAGCATAAGGAACACCCTTTGGAGGACGTAAAGCCGACTGAAGTCGCCCGTCCAGTAGACACAGTCACATGTTTGAGTGTACAGTTCTGAGAGACATCTGGCCCCAGGATGTAAACTTGGTCAGTATCATTATGTAGGTGGTATGTAAAGCCAAAAGACATGATGAAGCCAGAGGACAGCGCAGACAGGGCTGCGCCCCGGAGCACTGCGATATTTTGTGATTGGGAAGATGAGGAGAAAGCACCCAAGGAGTTTTAAAGGAAATTCAGTGGGTAGGAAGAAAACCAGGCAGGAATTTGTCCAGAAGAAAATGAAGAAAGCATTTCAAAGGAAACCAATGGTACACTAAGTGCCTCTGATGGAGTTGAGTAAGATGGGGACTGAGAACAGATGTGGCCACACAGGCGTCAGTGAAGACTGGCCAGAGTCATTTCAGAGTGTGCTAGAATCAGAACAAAAAGACATGGGAAAGAGGGAAAATCCTCAGGGATTTTCCTCTAAAGGTTAAAAAATGGAACAGCAGAAAAAAGATGATTTATTTGGCTGATGAGTATTTTAAATGATGAAGAGTATATGAACATACAGGGGATAGGAGGAAAAGAAAGTACCCCCAACAAGGCCAGTCGCACTGCAATCTTTTTCCCTTCAGTTCTTCATCCCATCAGGATCTTAGCCCATGTGCATACCCAGACGCAAACTCTGTAAGTCATGTGGGATCTGGCTTCTTTTGCTTAACTGCTATGTTTCAAGTCCAGCCCTAAAGAGGACTGTTTTGGCTTTCTTTTGTTTGGTTTTGAGAGATTTTTGCTATAGGGCACGTGTGCTCACTGGAGACACAGAGACAAAGAAAGAAGTCACCCCCTGGGGGGATGGCCATGCTGCAATCCCTTCTTCACCATTCTCCTCGGGAATTTTGGGCGCACATGTACATGTGCCTGGCATGAGTTTCAAGCTGCCAGGTTTGGACTCAAACCAGGGTTAGACATGTGGAAGTCCAGCACTTTCATAATGCGACATGCTGGCCCCAAGAGGGCTTTTAATTAATTAATTATTTATTTTTTTAAGGAAGGGACAAGCTACAGCACTTTTTACCTGGATAGAAGAGGAAGAAGTGATTATCCAGGTGACAGGGAGAGAATTGTCCAGTTTGAGGTCCCAGTGGAGGGGGTTGTGAGACCCAGTGCACCCGCAGCAGCTGACCAGGTGGAACAAGGCTGGGGCACAGCAGCATGTGGAAACAGGTGGTGGGTGAGGGAGTGGGAATGTAGAAGCTCCTTGAAATGAAAACTAAGGTCCAGGGCAGAGAGTGAGGGTGGCAGGAAGGTGGAAGTTTGAAGGTAGAGTGAAATCATCCTTGAGGAGCCAGAGTCCAACGAAGTCCTCTGACTCTTAGGGCATAGTAAAGCTGGGCTCATGGGGCCAAAGGGGTCTGCCATCCTTTCTTCTCTTCTGGTGCTTGTTCTCACTAATCCTGAGGTCTGTAAGGCTTCCTGGTGAAAGAAAAGTCTACTCAGCTCAGACACTTCACTATCAAGGTCAGTTTCATATTTATCAATAGTAAGAAAAATGATCCTTCGTTGATTACAAAAGTCCTGACTCCTTCATCATTCTTTGTCTGTCAGGGATCCGTCTCGGCCAAAATGAACCCCAAGGAAGAAAAAGTAAAAATCATTACAGAGGTAAGTGGTTGCTTAGATGTCCCCAGGGCTGTATTTGCTGTCCACGCTCATGTTACACACACTTGGGAATGAGGAAGTTGCAGCAACACACATTTATTGCACGTGTTAAAAGGAAAACTTTAGAGGAATTAAATTTCACAGAGGTTGAACAAAGAACAATTCATGAATCCAGGAGCTCTCAGAAACAGTTCAGGGAGTTCTGTTCTACAATGTGGGCAGGCAGCACTTATGAATGGAAAATAGAAGAGAGGAGCAGAAACTGCTTGATTGGTTTGAGCTCTGCATAGCATTATTTTAACATGGTCTGATCACTTGGCGATTTGTGATTGACCGAAGTTCAGCTGCTGTGATTGGCTAAGACTCCAAAAATATACTCCTAAGTTAGTTTCAGCTAGTTTATGTCCAAAGCAACACTGCAGTCCTGAAGGTAAGGATGCGAAGGTATCCAGAGGCCAAACTTAGTTTCACTTGGCACACACCTGCTGCGTCCACCCAGAGGGAGCGGTACCGGCATGTGGTGAAAGGGAGGTGAATGGTAAGGGAGACAGCCTTCCCCGCACTCCGGACTGTACCTGTACCTGAATGTCCTGAAGCTTTCATTCCCATCTCACAAATGCTGGCCTGCATCAGCTCTAACTTACTACCATTGGGCCCAGCTCTGCCTGAAGCGCATTTATTTATAAAGAAACCCAGAATGAAGGTAATGTAATTATAGATTAGAGCTGTTAATAAAATCCTCTAGCCATGGAGGGCTACCTTTTCCGACTTCCTGTGTGTAAAACCTCATTAAAGCACTGTACAGGCCAGAGAGAAGGAAGCTGTCTGCAATCCAGAGATTGTATGCCACCACACAGAGAGAAAGAGGGGAATGTTCCCAGTCCTCACTTCTCCGGTACCAGAGACAGAAATGAAACTGACATGCTATTTCCAAAGTAGTGCTTCAAACAGCCTGAGAGAACTCTGCAAACTATTCCGATTCACCGTACAGACATACCAGTGCTGACAAACCACCTCCTGTGCTTGCTCACTCCTTCATACAACACGTTCCATGCCTCTGATACCTGGAGGTGCGTCAGCAAACAAACCTTTGCGTCCTTGTGGAGCTTATGCTTTATCTTATTTGCAATCCAACTGGATGGTTTTCTACTGATCAGGGACTAAAACATTATTGGAAAGCAAAAGATGACCTAGATTTTTCACAAATCCAGTGAAACACAACTTACAAAGTCCAGCCAACACAAACTTAAAATTGGAGTAAGAACCATACCTTATACCTCAATATTATCATTATTTTATAATCGAAGCTGGTGAATCTCTGGGCTAAGAGAATCTTCTCCCTAGTAGGCTCTGAAGAAGGAAGCCACAGTGAGGATGGGGCATTTACACAGAAGACAAGTCGGAGAGATCACATCGCACAGACCAAGGACAAGTCAAAATCAGGCCACTGTCTGGGTGGGACCTCAGTTCCCTCCTCTAATTAAAGTTCATGTTTTCCCTCACCCCAAGGAAAACAGGGCGTTAGTGGGCCCGGCAACCTATATGACATTTCTTTGAAACATTATATCATTAAAATCCATGCTTTGTGTCCTAACTTTCAGTAAAAATGAAGAAAGCCCCAATTTTAGAAAAAAAAATTGATGTAAGGAGAGGTTCTATCTTGCAGCTTGTTCACCCAAAGGCAGTTGCAACCCAACTTACAAAATTCTAAGAGTAAAATCTTTAGTTTCCAGCTCTAACATTTGATGACTAAAATGTTAGAAAGCATAAGTGGAAAAAGAAAACGAAGTTTGCACTGTTAAAGGATTCTTCTCTTTTCAAAAATATCTGCCATAAGGTAACTCGAAACTTCCCTGGTGATCATACCCGTATTTTCACTATCCCCTACCTGCTGGGAAAGCTGGGAAACAGAAAATCCTAATCTGTGAAACCCCCAGTACGGCTCTGAGTATCTCCATCCTCCCTGGAAGACTCGCAGTTAGTTGCCTTTCTTAGACTGCGCCTTTCCCAGCAGGGACTGGGTAGCATCTCTGTCCACCCGGCCCGCCCCTCCACCCCCTCACACACACACACACACACACACACACACACACACGCCCTGCCTTAATTGCAAAAGTGCTCAGTAAACGTTAGGAGCGTGAACCTGTAACAGTGGAAGCTCCCACATCACTTTATTTCGGATGTTTTAGTTTGTATTCTTTTCCAGAATGCGTCTATTTTGAGAAGAGAGGATGCTGAGGGGTGTTTATATGTGTTAACTGTTCCTTCGCCCACACTCAGCTTCACTGGATAAAGGCCCAGTTCAAGATGGCACTTTTAATTTTAGGAAAACACCTTTCTTCCTCTCAAGATTCTCTCCCTGTTCTACTTTCATTTTTTAAAAGGAATTCATTGAGAATGATGAGGTCGCAGATGGGAGAAGGAAGAAGACCTCGAAGGTTCAACGACAACGAGGAAAGAAACAGGTAGGAGTAGGAGTGGCAAGAAAGCGAGTCAGTCTTTGTGTGGTGTGGCTGATTAACAGCCCCCTGCGCCCTGGCAGGCCGCAGGAGGATCCACCGCGGGAAGCGTCCCTGCTGTGGGTACCACCTTTTGACCTGCTTGTAAGGGATGTGGATCGCCCAGGGAGTGGACCCAGCATGGGGGCTTGTGGGTGCTTTTCGCAATGTGGAGGGGGGGGGTCTTTATTTGGAAAATCTTCCAAAATCTTCCTCTCCCATCTCTGGAGGAAGCCTGGAAATGGTTGGGCAGCGTTTTCTCTGAAGCCCATAAACTAAGACTGTCAGTAGATGGCACTGCAGGATTACAAGTTTTAGGGAACCCCCTGTTTTTCCCAACTCCAAGCTCGAATTCCGCTTTCATCCAAGCTGAGGACCCATTTTTGACCTGCTTGTAAGGGGTGTGGATCGCCCAGGGAGTGGACCCAGCATGGGGGCTTGTGGGTGCTTTTCGCAATGTGGAGGGGGGGGTCTTTATTTGGAAAATCTTCCAAAATCTTCCTCTCCCATCTCTGGAGGAAGCCTGGAAATGGTTGGGCAGCGTTTTCTCTGAAGCCCATAAACTAAGACTGTCAGTAGATGGCACTGCAGGATTACAAGTTTTAGGGAACCCCCTGTTTTTCCCAACTCCAAGCTCGAATTCCGCTTTCATCCAAGCTGAGGACCCATTTCAGGCTCCAGCCTCGCTCCCGCTCCTCCCCCAGCTCTCTGCAGGAGCTCCCCTTCGGGCTGGGAGCACCCCAGTACGAGGAAGACCTTTCCAAGGTAAACCAGTCTCTCGGTGAAGAGTTGGTGTCTCTGCAGAAAGGAGGCAGAGACAGGGCTCTTACGGAGAACTATTTGCTTGGAACAGTACAACTGCCGGGAGGGGAAGGAAGCGCCATGTTGGGCCAGCATCACGTGACGGGGCTGCCCAGAGGTGGTGGCCAGGGGTGGCAGGAGGTACAAGAACGCAGTCGGGAGGAAGCCTCCCCGCCTCGCCGAGCACGCGCGCTGGGCTGGGCAGAGGCAGGTCCTCTCCTGCACGCGGAGGGAGAGCCACCGGGGGAGGCGCGGAGGGGCGGCACAGCCGCCACGTGGCTTAGTCCCTCAGCCCCTCCTAGCAACCCCGAGACCCACCGCCAGGTGTGGAAGAAGCTTTAACCCCTTCCACGCGTGGCTCCGCGGCTCAGGGCAGGCCTCCCTGGCAGCAGGTGGACACAGGCGCGGGAGCAGACGCGGGGCAGGGCTGCGGCTGCCGTGGAGCTGAACTGGTGCAGGGGTGGAGAAGGGACTCAGCCCTCCAGAGCTGGGCAGTTATGTGGCAGGCCTTGAGCTTTATCAAGCACCATCTGCACTTACCTGGCCCGCAGAGCCCTGATCGTAGACAGTGGAGCACAGTCGTTAGGAATGTTAGAAAAGATCTTACTGTAACTCTGGATGCATCCAAGAGTCGCCAGGGGAATTGTGTTTTTTTGTTTTTTTTTGTTTGTTTGTTTTTTCATGAAATGCCTCAGGTCCACCCTCGCCCATCTATTTACATCAGAAGCTCTGCTTTGCAGTGCTCCATGCACAGTAGCCTCGGTGAATAGGCGCTTTTCTGTTTTTCTTCTCTTCCAGATGAGAAAGCGACATGTAAGGGAGGTAACAATTGAAAGCCACGCATCTGGCCGGCCTGCTTGGCCTCCTCCCCGCAGTTTGGGGAAGGAGTCAGAGGCTGTTCTCAGGCACTCGGAAGGGCCCTCAATATTTGCTGCTGATTACCCAGTGACTCTTCAGCAGCTGTTTCCAAACTAGTTGGAGTTGGGGACAAATTAATTGTGATTTTCCTCTTTTCCTTTTTGTCTGAATTTCTGCCAAGCTGTACATATTTACCTACGGAAAAAAAAAACACACACACACACAAAATACTCATTTGATTTTGAGATGTCTCCATAATTGCACACAAAATATCCTAGAGAAACTCGTGTTGGCTCTGCTTTCCTGCGGTTGCCTGAGGTATCAGACCTGAAGTGTGCTAAGGCCTTTGCTGTGCTGGGAACACTCCTCATCCCTGGAGGAACCGAGTCAGCTGAAGGCTTGGGTGTCTCTGAACCTCTGACCTTCTGCCCACAGACTCTAACCACTGGCCCTGAGGAAATGGTGTTGGAAAAATCCCACCTTGGCAACCAGCAGGATCCTATGCAGGAAGAGCCTGAGACTCACCTTGTGAGCATGCCGTCCAGGCAGGGGCCGCGGAGTAAGTACCTCTTATTTTAATTCAGATGGCACTTACTCATTAACTACTGTGAGCTCCCACACAGCAATATAGCATGTTTTATAAGTAGTATTTCTCATGCATAGTCCCTGCCATCCACCCTACTTTACTCCAACTCTATGAGTAATTTTCTAAGTTCGTGTCTGTCTAGACCAGACAGGTAGCTTTGAGGCATGTTTCTATAATCATACAAGTTAGGAAGTATTTATTGCAATACAAATGGTACAGATAATCAAATATGTGGAAATTCAAAGAAAGATAACACAGTGAAGGAAGACACGTATGTCACTGAAGTGGACATGAATCTGATATTGAAAGAAATGAGGGAGGTTTCTGGGCTCCTGGTAACCTGACCCTCAAGGACTGCTAGACTTACCCCTCCCACCTCGCCTCTTCCTACTCCCTTGCCACTCCAGGAATTTTGGCCTGTATGTTATAGCATTTTCCCTTCCCCAGCACAATGAACACCATTCATTATTTTTCATTGTAGGGAAAATGAATATCCTCACTCCTTGTTTTTTATGAAAAGTGAACTGAGAAGTATGTTACATTTTTTTTTTAATTGTGTAATGATTACTCATGTGTTACATATATTATTGTGCTGTGGTGGAGCTGGCCAGTAAAGTAATTGTTGCAAATTAGAGGGTTTGAGATCAAGCTGACCTGAAGTTCAACTCCAAGAAAAATGTTGTTCCAACCTAAGAGGTGATACATTGGAGCTATTATGAATTAGTAAAAACAGAACCAAAATGTATCCCATGTAACTGTTTCTTTTCATTAATGCTCAAAATTATACATTATTGAAGACTACAGCTTAGCTTGTGCTACCATAAAAAAGTAACCATAGATTGGTGACTTTAGTAACATTTATCTTCTCATAGAGCAGAGTGGCTGGAAATCTGAAATGAGGGTACCAGCAGCTGCCATCTTGCTGTGTGAACACATGACCTCTTCTTTGTGCATGAGTTGGGGATGAGGAGAGGTGGCTCTGGTATCTTGGTATCTTTTTTTTTTTTTTTTACATTCAATCTCTGTGTATCATTAAAGCATACCAAATTAACTTTCCCATCATGAATACACTGTACATTGATTCAGTCAAAAGTTTTATCATACACATTATAATCAATGGATTTCTTTCCATTTTGAGAACCTTAAATGTTTTGCCTCTTCTTCCCCTTGATTCCCTTTCTCTTACCCTCCCTCATTTCTCACCCTACTTCTGCACTGTCTCCAGTATCATCATTGTTCTCCCGGCTTGTATACATTCTAGTCTTTCTGCTGTAAGGTGCTGACTTTTGGTATATATTGAGTGGGGACATACAATGCCTCTCTTTCATAGTCTGGCTTGCTTTGCAGTAAATCTTCCATATTTGTTCACTGTCTATCAAATGCCAGGGTCTCATTGTTTCTTTTAGTTGAGTATTATTGGGACCAGCAGTTGGCATAATGGCTATGTTGCTGGACTCCTGTGTAGTTGACTGAGGTTTGAGTCTTGGACCCGGTGGCTTAAACTCAAGCCAGGCGCGAGTGTGTGTGTGCCAATGATCCCAAGAGGAGACTGGAGGAGAAGGGATTGCAGCATGGTCATCCCCCCGGCTGGCCCTTTCTCCCTTTCTGTTTCTCTATCTCTCTCTTTCTGGTGAGCACACACGCCCTATTGCAAAAACCTCCCCCCCCAAAAAAGAAGAAAATTGAGTAGTATTCTATAGTATGTATGTTCCTCATTTTTTCAATCCAATCATCTGTTCATGGACATTTGGGATGGAACATTGTCTTACCAAGTGTGAATACTGCTGCAGTGTTTTTCTAACTTAACATATTCCTATCCTTTGGGTAGATACCCAGGAGTAGAATTGCTGGAGCAAATGGTAGTTCTATTTGTAAATCTTTGGGGAACCTCTGTATTGTTCTCCACAGTGGCTATACTAATTTACATTCCCGCCAACAGTGTAAGAGAGTTCCCTTCTCACAGCAGCAGTGCGATCACTTATCATTCTTAATTTTTTTTAATCTTAGCCATTCTAACTGGAGTTAGATGGTATCTCGTTGTGGTTTTAATTTGCATCTCCCTTATGATAAGGGTTGTTGAACATTTTTCTCATATGCTTTTTGACCTTTCATAAGTCTTCCTTAGAGAGTTGCTGTTCAGTTTATTTGCTCATCTTTCAATTAGGTTCATCATTTTTTGGGAGGTAAGCTGTTTGAATTTTCTGTATAATTCTACTTATCAGTTCCTTATCTGAGGCATAGTTTGCAAATGTATTCTCTCATTCTGAGGGCTATTGATTCTCTCTAGTTATTATTTATTGTGCTGTGCAGAAACTTTTTAATCTGAGGTAATCCCACCTGTCTATTTTGGGGATTATTGCCTGTGATTTGGGGTCTTTAGGAAGTCTTTGCCTACTGTGTTTCCAAGCATTTTCCCTGTTTCCTCCAGTAATTTTGTAGTTTCAGGTGTTAGGTTTAGGTCTTTGGTACATTTTGAGTTAATTTTTGTTAATGGTGAGAGAGAGGGATCCAGATTCTTCTTTCTGCAGGTGGATACCCAGTTTTTTCAGTACCACTTGCTAAAAAGGTTTTCTTTTCCCCACTGGATTGACTGGTGCCCTTTATCAAAAGACTATACATTTGGGGGTTATTTCTGGGGTCTCTATTCTTTTCAATTGGTCCACATACCTGCTTTTGTGCTAGTACCATAGTGTTTATTTTGTTTGTTTGTTTGTTTTGTTTTTATTTTTGGAGAGGTTTTTACTATAGGGCACGTGCGCTCGCCAGAAAGACAGAGAGAGACAGAGAGACAGAAAGCAAGAAATCACCCCCCAGGGGGTATGGCCATGCCGTAATCCCTTCTCCTCCATTCTCCTCTCAGGATCTTGGGCATACATGCACACACGCCCAGCGTGAGTTTAAGCCACTGGGTCCGGGACTCGAACCACGGTTGACTACATGGGAGTCCAGCGACATAGCCATTATGCTAACTGCTGGTCCCTCATTTAGTTTTGATTATCACAGCCTTATAATACATTTTGGCATCAGAGATTGAGATGCCCCCTACTCTGCTCTTCTTACATTAGATTGCTTTGGCAATATGGGGTCTTCCATGATTCTAGACAGATTCTATGATTGTTTTTTCTAAATCTTTTAAGGAGACTAATCTATCATTTTAGGATCTTATGGCTTTATCTTATCATAATTACCTCCCTATGGGCTCTGTCTCTATATGTAATCACATCGAGGGTTTGGGCTTTAACATAAGCATTTAGGAGGAACACAATTCCATCCTTAGTACAACTACTGGATATTTAAGTAGTTATTTTAAAATTAGTGGAAAAAAAATCAAAACAGGTAGCCCGAATAAAGGCTCTGTGGCATGAAAAAGGGATTACAAACAGTTCCTAATTTAGGATGATTTGACTTTACAATGGTAAAGCAATATACATTTACAAAAGCAATATGCATTCAATAGAAACTGTATTTTGAGTATCTTCATATGATCATTTTGTTCCTCACTTTCACTATAGCATTCAATTAATGACATGAGATAGTCAAAATTTTATTATAAAGTAGTTTTTTTGTTAGATGGTTTTGCCCAATTATATGCTAATGTTAGTGTTCTGAGCATGTTAAGATAGGCTAGACTAGAGCCAGCAGGTGGCATGGTGGTTAAGACACTGGACTCCTATGTGGCCGACCATGGTTTGAGTCCTGGACCCAGCAGTTTTAAATTCATACCAAACCTGTGTGTGTGTGTGTGTGTGTGTGTTCCCAAAATCCTGAGAGGAGAATGGAGGAGAAAGGATTGCAGCAAAGCTATCCTCCCTGGGAGGGTGATTGCTCACTTTCTGTCTCTCTGGTGAGTGCAAGCATCCTATAGCAAAAATACCTCTAAAAAATAGCAATAAAGAAATTTTTTTTGGAGAGGTGTGTTTTTGTTTTTGTTTTGTTTTGTTTTTCCACTATAGGGCATGTGCGCTCACCAGAAAGACAGAGACAGAGACAGAAAGTGAGAAATCACCCCCCAGGGGGAATGGCCACGCCACAATCCCTTCTCCTCCACTCTCCTCTCGGGATCTTGGGCACGCACGCACATGCACACGCACCCGTTGTGAGTTTAAGCCACCAGGTCCGAGACTCGAACCACAGTCGACTACACGGGAGTCCAGCGATGTAGCCATTACGCCATCTGCTGGTTCCTCTTTTTTTCTTTTCTTTCTTTTTTACTAGCCCAATTTTATAGGTGCAAAATAGTGAAGTCCAGAATCATGCTTTGCTTAATAATGTAATTATTTGCTTATTAATTGATTATGCTGCTACCAAAAGGCAGAAAGGCCTAAATGTCAGAGTTACGAACCCCACATCAGGGCTTGTTCAACTACGCAAAGTTGGATATTCTAAAGTCCCTTTGGAGTAATTGAAACCATTCCCTTCATTTATGTCCATTAAAGTATGTGCTTAACTCATATCTCCCCGGTTTCTCCCAATGTCCTTTTTCTGGTGCAGCGTGATACACTACATTTGCTTTCATGTTTCCTTATTCTCTTGGAGTCACAGCTTCTCAGAATTTCCTTGTTTTTGATTATCTTGAGGCTTTTTTTCCTCTCTCTCTCTCTCTCTTTTTAATTTTGCTGTAGGGCATGTGCACTTGCCAGAGAGAGACAGAGAAAGTGAGAAATCACCGCCTCCCCTACCAAGGCATGGCCATGCCATCATCCCTTGTCCTCTATTCTCCTCTTGGGATTTTGGGTGTGCAGACTTATGTGTCTAGCATGTTTTTCAAGACACTGGGTCCAGGACTCGAACCTCGCAGATCTGTCATTTGGGATGCAGCCACCTTAACTTCCACTCCACCTGCTGACCCAGCCACAACAATTTGAGTACTGGTCAGGTGTTCTGCCCTCAGAGGGAATCGGTGTGATGTTTTTCTCTTGATTATATTGGGGGTATGGGTTCCAAGGCGGAAGATCACAGAACGAAAGTGCCGT